TTCACTAATGTCACTGAGAAAGATGAGACACTGAGTGAGATAGTGTGGCTGTGCCACCAGGACATCTCCTTTCACAGGCATGGCATGCGTCCCAACCTACAGGTGCTGCCAGGGCATCCGTCTGAGCAGTACAGAGGGACACTGCCACTGTGGGCAGGTCCTCTGCCATCACACCTCACTACACCTCTCACTCCTCATGTCCCATATTGTCTCTTTCCTTCACTCCTAGGTATAAACTGTATCTGTAGACACACACTGTTAACCTCCAGGGCTGAGATTCACCTGCTGGACATTTCTGGCTTCTTTAGGGACTTCCAGAAAGCGCCTGAACAGGCGTAGCCTGCAAGTGATCTAAAAGAATAAAGCAAAGGTAAAGCTTTCCAGTCACAATTTGATTAGCTTTGTAAAACAACACTTCACAGCACCTCCATCGCTAGAAAAGGTCTGAGGCAAAAATAAAGATGCATTTCAGAAGACAGGAGATTAGATAAGAGTCTTCTTAGCTCTAACAAGACTGCCCAATTAATTTAAAATATATTGTATTGTATATGAAGAAAAAGAGTAAAACAAATAATAAAAAAAATCTTTTATTCCAAAGACCCCCAAAAGTCTATGAAGCAAAATATAGTTTTAAATGTAAATGAAATGTTGTTTAATGTGCTACTGGTGAACTTCTGCTTGAAAGCAAATTTCTCCCCTGACTGCAAGTTCTGCAGTGCTGATAATTCCTGATGCACAGACATGTAAGATTCATTGACCTATTTAAATGCATTTCCCTGTTAAGAGGCCTGATTACCCAGGACTGGCCAAACTAGTCCCACTCTATATCTAAATCTGACATCTCAACTCCAGCGTGATTCATTATTATATGATAAGGATGCCAGGAAGTAGCAAACACACAAAGTGGGGAAGGAATGCAAGTGGGAAATATCTGACATTCAGAGAGGGTGCTTGAAGCTGACTTAGCGAATGCTAATGAACTGCCAGTTTGGACCATTTCCTGCTTATGCTAAAAAAAGGTTTGCTTTATCAGAAATGAACCTTTTTTAAATACAAGACAAGCATAATGCATTTGCATGGTTGAAGAATCCACCTAAAATCCCTTTTGCTTTAAAAAATATAGTGCTATTTTGGAACCAGGTCAGGAGACAAGTCTGTTGTAACTGACTCAGTTATAATTATAGTACAGATCAGGCCCCGACTCCACTGTAATTGTATAGCATGACAGGCTTGTGCATGAACGAAGAGTAGGAGTCTTGGCTAGAGCAAGACAAATTCTAATATCATGAACATAACAGTGAAAATCATAATTACAGATACGTCACGGTGGATTGGAGATGTAGCAGGCATGAACTGATTCCTGGTGACCTGGGAGGGGCTGACTCAGCTCCACTCTGCTGCTGCTAGTCGGCAAAGCAGTCAGGCTATGATCACTGCTTTTTGCCAAGAGGGAAAATGATTGGTAGGGTGGATATTCCCTGTGGGTCATTGACAGCTGCTGGTGACGAAGGGCTCATCTTTTACTTTACCATGGTGAGGTGATCCCTAAAAGCAGGCAAGAGCTTTCCTCCCAGAGCAAAAACCAAAGCAGCAGCAACAGGGTACTTTCCTTGCTCCTGCAACACATGGGAGAGGCAAATGCTTCCAGTGGATCACACTGGGGCTATGCTATACATCGCCATTCTGCATGCTCTGCTCCTCTACCTCTCCAGCAGTACAAAAAGGCGTGTCTTCCCCTCAGCTAGCAGGTGACTGCAAAGCCAGCACACGTTTTCATCAACCACCTCTGCAATGCAAAAGGTGACCTACAGCAAAGGCATCAGATAAACAGCCAGAGGTGTTACTGTTTCTGCAGCTGGGCTCATAAGACTCTACCTGAGCACTTTGATGCCTCAGGGTTTGGTTCAAAGCAATCAAGTCACCAAGTAAAAAGCAGATGCAGAGATCCACCAAGACCAGGCTTATTCAGCATCACACCTCTTGGACATCCTTGGCGTCAAGCACCAAGCTGCAGGGAGGTAGAGAATTTTTTTCCAGGTGTACATGACCCTGTTACACCTTTCCTTTAGGATTTAGTGATGATATCAGTGCCTTTTATAGAACAGGGCAGTAGTTAAGCACTTTGATGGGCTTCAGGGTCTGCCCTTCACAAGTTCAGGGGCCTTCTCAGGTTTATAGATTCACATCTGACCTTTCCCACTTCCCAGAACAGCATCCTTTAATCACTAGGCTCTAGGCTCCAGAGAACAAGAGGGTCTTGCCCACCCTTCCAGTGCTATGTGGAAGATACGGTTTTCTACATCCTTCCAAAAACTGGTGAGAAAGGGAGACGGAGACATGATTATCCATTTTACATTAAACAGTTACTGGAGTTGACATTTGAGTGTACAACAAAAAAACAACAGATGGATATTGACAGATGGAGAAGCATGAAGAAACAATGAGACATCCTCAACCACTCTTCTCTGCTTCTGAAACATGTTATTGTTTCCCCTACCATCTCTCTTGACCCCAGCCCCATTTTCAAGTGCTACTCCATATGCTTCCTTTCTCTTCCTCCATATGTCTTAAACATGTAAAAAATAATAAAAAAAAAAGAATTAATTCCACTTCTTCTGGCCCTACTCAGCCAATTTCCCCCCGCTCTAAAATCTGCTTTCTGTTCCCTCTTGTCCACAGAAACAGTTTATGGCATTACCAGCAAAGTCACCAGCTAACTTGTCCTCCCTTCCATTTTAGAGAGACTGCACACCCTCACTTCCTGAAAACCACCTGTTATCCAGCTTTCATAAATGCCATACACTTCTTGTTTTCCTCCATTCCCATGCCATGACACACTTCCACATCTTCAGCTACCTCTTACAAACTCAGCAATTTAACTTCTTCATTTCCACTCTGGTTTGCTAACAGCTTGCCTTTCTGTTGCCAGCTGAACTTCCTCAATATCCCTCTGCAGAAATCAGACCACATGCCAGCAAACTGTAAAACTCATGCACTTTCTTAAGTTCCTTCTCTTCCTTGATGCTTCTTAAGCTTGAAAATAAAATGTATCCGCTATTTTTGACTTACATTTTCTGATCCAAATTTTTCCACTGTCACTCATTATTAAAATTCATACAATAGTATTTTCTCCATGATCTCCAACCAATAAACATGCCAGCACTTCTTAAGTTATACCACAGATAAGAGATATGTTCTTCTCTGGCTCCTGATGTTTTACTTAAGTCCGTTTCTTTCTTACCTTTTACTTGGATCAAACCCCATTCCTCTGCACGTACTTTTGCTGACCTTGCTATTAAATTTCAGTTCTTCCCCTCTTGCCTTCATGGACATGCACACTTTAGGGTCTTTCTGTATCTCCTTCATCTGCAGAAACTCTTCATTCGCCACTTTCAAAGATCCCACTCTGTCTTTTCTTTCCCTGTTCCTGGAACCGATCCACTGGCCCAATCCATCTAATTTTCATTGGCTCTTCTCTGAAAAGAGCTATAAATCCTAGCTTCCCTGCTCTCAGTACTAGAAATTACTAATAAAGATTAATGGAGTCATTAGCCGGATGCAAGCAAACTTCACTGCTTGTTTACTTATATTTCACTGCTTATTTGATAATATTATTTGTGATTGTAAACTATGATAAGACTGTTGCCACTTCTGATGCACCTCTAAGTACCTGGCATGTTCTGAGACGTGTATAAATTACACTCAGATTGTCACGAAATTGGACTAACATTTAAAGCTTTGCAAAATTCATCTCCACCAAATTCTGGTGTCTGAATTCAGTGCTCCATTTGGAACCTGGCATGCAATATAATTATAGTGAAAGGTGAAATAGAATAGTATGAACACTTTGCATACCTGCTATTCACCATCTGTTCTTCTCTGTGATAGAATGATATAGCTTCTCTTTACAGAGAAGCTTTTGACTCGATCAGAAAGGGAAAAATAGCATTTTTTGCTATACTGCAGAAAGATTTTTATTTTGTTCTTAAAAAAAAATAAACTTAATATATCTTAGTGGGCTATGATGATATATTAGATGACTTCTAACTTCAGAAGCCATAAATTAGTACGCCATTACCAGGAAATCATAGTACTGCCTTAACAGGACCATGAGGCACTTTGGCATCTTTTTATGCTTTGTCTGGATCATTGGCCCTAAAAGGTGAAGCCACAGGCATTGGAACTTATCCTAAAAACAGACTAAGGTTTTCACATAATCAAGGAGTAAATCATTAGAACAAAAAATGCCATTGCAAGATTTGCAATGATTCCACAATCACTTGCAAAAGTGAGAGTGAAAGGTAGGGTGGGCACAGGCACCCTAATTGAGTGATACCTGTGTTGAATCACAGTGAAAAGTTCGCTTTGCTTTACAAGCTGTATCCCATAGACCTGCTGACCTTAACACGGGAGTGAGAAATGAAGGAATAACTAGGAATGTCACTTCTCCTGCCTTTTTTAGAGCAAATTCTCACCTGGGGCACAGCACTTTCCTTTCTACCCCTTGTCTGGGGAGCGAAGCTGCCCCAGCAGTGGTACCTGCCTCTTGCTCTCCTCTTAGGTGGTTTCCGCACCCATGTCAGCATGCTGCCCCCAACCTAGTGGGGTGCCAACGGGTCAAGTCAGCCCACCCAGCCCTCCTGCAGGCCTGTCTCCAGGGGGTTCGTAGTCTTAAAAAGAAAATTAGTTTATTATTATTATTAATAGAATTTATATATATCTAAAAAATCAGGGCATGGGAAGGGTTAACTTTTCAGACCCAGACAGTTCCCCGCTGATCTGGTAATGAGTAAGCAATGCAGCTGAATGTCAATAGCTCGGTGTGAACTCCCATAACCCAGCTGAGCCCTGTGCTGGGGGGATGAAGGAGGGGGGAGTAATCGCCTTGACCCCCCCCCCCCGACCTCCCCCAGCCCGCTGGGCTCCTACGTGCTGCTTGCCGGAGTGCGAGAAGCCTTTTATAACAACTGGGTCTGAGTCAGCTGTTGGAGGTAATATAATATACCTTAGTCAATAGCTGTACGTTGCACAACATACGATGTGGCAGTTCCTTTCTAACTTGGGGAGCCACCCAGTCTTTTTAGGATTTCCAGGAAGAGCTGTGGCATCTGACCTTCAACTGTTATTAAAAGAAATCAAAGGTTGTATAACAGTCTGCTGGAGCTTTGCATTTCTTACTGGAGTTGTGTTTCTTCAAATGCCTCTACATTTCTGAGCTTCTCAGGTTCTTTATTCCTTTACTTGTTTATCCTCTGGTAAGCATTTATTAATAGAGAGACTTATTCCTTTACTGTACTTGTTTATCTTTCAGGGGGTTTGTTTTGGTTTTCAATTTAGAAGCAGAAGGGTCTCCCACGCATTTCACATTTCTGTCTGCGGGTGAAGTCCCTGCATGGCTTTGATAGCAATCTTCCAGCTGTCCATTTGCACCCTGGAATCCCTCCCTTTGGCTGATTTTCTGCATTATCACCATAGTTTTTGACTAAGACTATTAATCCACCTGTCCCTCTGTGAAAGCGGATAGATTGGCTTGTGCAAAAGGGGAGTAAGATGGTATGAACTGTAAGTCTGCTATTAATCCTGTTAATACGGGATTAAACTGAAGCCCTATGAGTTGGAAAGGCTGATTTGATTGTTTGGGACTATAACTTAGCTCTCCCTTATGAAAGTAGAGTTTGCCATGCATCACATTTTGTGATTTGCATATTTGCTCTCTGAGGAAATCAAGGTTAAATATAGCAAGGAGATTCTGCTGGCTTAAACTGGTAGCACAACTATGTTCCTTCAGCCTAACAGTCTCCCGGATAGCAGAAGGAACCTGTCTGTTCTTGTCTCGCAGTAACTGCATGCTATAATACAACTTATATTGTTGGCTTATGCTTTGCCTCTGACCTTTACACGCACTTTGCTTAGGTACCAGATAGACTGCATGCCTTATTTTAGAAGGAAAGAAGCGACAGAGGAACTGGACTAAAATAAATGTCTTGCCATTGTTATTTTCAGTAAAAGAGTTACAAAATCAACGGCAATGGAAGGCTGAACAGCATCATATATTCCCTGTGCGAGGCTATCATATAGAGCAACATCTATCTCATTAAAAAAAAAAAAAAAAGTTGATACTGTCTCTGTGTTAGAGATTAGCATTCTGCTTGCTCCTCAGCCTTAAGAGAAGGCCTATAAATTATTAATACTAACATCAGTGTGAGACAACAGATGGTAAAGATTACTTGGAAAAAGTCTTCACATTAACATATTACGGCCTTGGTTTCACAGCACGTTGGGACTGTTTCTTGCTGCTGCCAGCCGGCCTGGCCCTGGGAGAAACCTCCCAGCAGAGGGGAATCCTTGGGCAGCAGCAGCAGAAAGGTCCTGCCCTGGTTCAGCTGCACAGATATGGTGGCCCAGCCACCACCACAGAGGGGCTGGTGTGTGTCATTGCCCAGTGAGGGTCCTGGCATCTGCTACACCAGGGATGAGACCAAGAAGGAAGGAGCTCAGGGCTAGGAAAACCTTCAGCTGGCTAAAACATGTATTCCTTGCTGCGATGCTTCCAGATGGGATCAGTTACATTGCATGCTCTGAAAAATAAGAAATACGCATTTATCAGTTTTAAACTGTTGTTGAGCCAGTGGTGCTACGAGACCCAAAGTATTCACGGATATAATTATGTATATGTGCATCATCCAAAAATTTTGCAAGCAATTAAAGTATTTTTATGCTCTCTAGAACTGGTTACTTTAGCTTTATCAGGTTTACAAACATATTAAAGTTGTATCAAGCAAGTAAATTAGAAATTTCTGTTAAGAGGGTAAGAGTATTGCATTGTCTCCCTATCTAGCACTTGTTACAGCAGAACATGACCTTTACTCTTGTCTTAGAGTTATCAGTCTATGACCCTCCTGCCCATGGCTCTGCTCACACCATTTTTGAAGATAACTCTGTCAGAACCTCTGACACTGAAAGAATTTATCCAGCCTCTTAAGGACTTTTACAGGAGACATTTTCTCATGGCCCATTACTTCTGCGAATGCATATGCCATGTGAGTGTTTCACTGTGATTAAATCATGACTTAAAACATAATTCTCATGTTCCTACATCCTCTGGGTGTCACAGAAAATTTTCCCCAAAGCCTAAATAACGAGTTGGGCAGTGCACAGGTGAGAGCATAGAATGATCGCTAGAAAATGCCTTCAGTGACGTTGTTGCTGTGATATTTTCATAATGAGTACCAAAGCCTTGGTTAAGCAGTTTTGGACTCATACCTCATCATTTTCATAGATAGTAATACTTATTTTACTGAACAAATATGGTTATTCCCTTCATTATTTTGTCACACTGCCTTGCAGAATACTTCATTGCCTTGGCTTTCACCAGTCTTCTTTAGGGGAAAATGTCTATGTTTGCACAGCTGCCAGTCCAAAACCTTCGTGGTGAAACTGTTTCTTAGATCCTGGCATCACCGGTTTCAGTGCATCCAGACTACACCTTCAGGGACTTCTGGCTTCACATTCAGTTTTACATGATGACTTGGAATATTAGGTACATGTAGCACATCCCTGAGATGCCACCCTGGAAACAGCTGGCCCTTGAAATTTCCTGATTTGGGAATGAGGTGCTGGAAGAACTGTTTGAAGATGCCTGATATCATAAAATGTTGATTTGTGACACTGATCTTTTTTTAATCATTTAACAATACAGTTAACAGGTTCTTGGAACAAACATCAGATTAACCAGGCCTGCTACTTGATATTAGTTTAGAATTAATTTTTCCCCACAAAATTCCACTTACTATTATAGTGCTTAATTTTGCTGTATAGAAGAATTCCCCAAAGTCTCAGTCCTAAGGCCACTGAAGATGAAGGCAACATTCAGATTAAGGTTAGCAGGGAAAGCGTTCAGGAAACAGTATTAGTGGTACAGAAAGGGATTCAGATGTTAGCTTGTGATAATTCGTGATCACCTCTACCTAAAAACAGCTACACTGGCACAGATTTGCATTTGCCAATGAAAAGCCAACAAGTGTTTACAGGCTCTGGATTACGATGGTGGCAATCTGTTATGTCACAAATAATCTTGTTCCCAAGTGCTGAATGAGGGTAATTTGTAATCCGCTTTCTCTGAGTGAATGTACCACTAATAACCTCTTTTCGCTTGCTGATTTGATGGGGACTTGGGAGTCAAGGCCTTGTTTGTCAGCTGCAGCACGGGACAACTGAGTACAGCCCAGGGGGAGGGCACAGAGCTGGTCTACAGCTCACCACCCCAGCCCCACTCAACAGTCATTTGGGGTCCTGGGGGAGAGTTGTTGCTAAGACTTCTAACAGAAGGTGCAGCTAGAAGGGATTTTGGATTCTTGTGTCCTGGATGAGTTTCCAGACTCTTCACCCCATAGTTGGTATCAGAGGGGTGATATTATAGGGCTCTGAAAGCAGTGGTAGCAGCTCTCCTCTCCAGTCAGAGAACGTCCTGGGGAAGGTTGCCAAGGTTCTCTGAGATCAAAAGAGAAAAGCAAAAAGACATGCGTAAAAATGAGAGTGATACATGTGAAATCAAGTTTATATGAAGGAGGACAGACTAGACTGTTCTACACTTGTTCTTCCTGCTCTCTGAGCTCTTGTTGAACAAGCAATCTCAAATTCAGAGCCATGGACCATGCTTATCCCATGTACCTCCATCCTCCCCCAAGTCCTATCTGAACCTCAAAGAGGAAGAGGTCTCCATGTCCTTAAATTGTAAGAGGCAGACCTAGTGAAGTGATATTTTCTGAATAATGTGAATCAGCTGGCTCCAGGGAAACCAAATAATGATGAAGAACTGGGGAAGCCTTTTTGGTTCAGCCAGTGAAGTATTAGACTTGGAAAGGTGATAGGAAGATCTGGCATCATTCAAATGCACACAGAGGGACTAAAGCCATTCTTAGATTTTTCTGAGTATAGAATCAACATAGTGCAAAACAGCCAGTGCTATCTGTGTCAAAAATAACAGTACAGGTGTAGCTTTGTGTGTCACAGTGCGCAGATGATAGGAATGCTCAAATCCTGATATGCACTGTGTTTTGTATGAAGGCCAGCTGGTGATCTATATGAAATAAAAACGTGATTACAGATAACTGAAACCACTGAAAACAAACCTAACTGAAGGCATTGGTATGTTTGAAGGGGAGGGGAGAAACAAACACGCAGAAAAAAAGTCAATTAAGATTCCTGGGGAGGGAGGGAAGCTGCTTGGTGTTCCGCAGAGGGACTAAATGCTGAAGGGAGGAGCAGACTTTACAAGGTAATGAGAGTGCTAAATGGCAAAGTTTGGGCTGGGTGAAAGGTAGAGCTTCAAAGGAGGAATATGCACAACTTGGATCCTAAACAGCCTTTACATCTATCCTTAGCAAACTCGAAGATGAAAGGATCTGCATTCAAAGGACCTGCTTTTCTCTTGCCTTTCACCTTCTGAGCTTATTTGTATCTGCGCAAAGGGTATGTAAATTGCCAGGGCTCCAGTTCAGTGGCTTGTTTTCTAGATATATAGGATGAACAAGCCTATATGCTGGGATGTGAATACCTGAGGACTCTCATATCCTACCACATGCTGCTGATGGTGCCCTGTGCTATTCTGGTAAGGGGCAGGGGGGTGAATCTTCTCTAGTGCTTTGGATAGTGTATGCATAATACTGCAGCTACAAATGTGAGGTGAGATACTGAAACACTGATAAATTTTTGGGTTCTGTTGTTTCTCCTCTGCCGAGGTCCGTGGTGCACTGCCCATGCCTCTGCCCTTTTGCCCGCTGCCCTTCTCACGCTCATGCTGCATCAGCAGGGGAGATGCCCATGGGGAGGGCTGCTCCCCACCCTGTGAGGGCAGGCAAGCAGAAGAGCTGCTGTGCATGCAGCCTCCATCATTAGCCATACTAGAAGCCTTCCTGCTAATGAAAGGGGCTGGATGCATGTGGGAATTGGGCTGGGGTAAGAGGGAGGGGTGGTGCATTTGGGGTCCCAGATACGAGGGTTTGGAGAGAGACGAAAAAAGGCTCTCCTCACCAAGAAGAGTTCCATCAATTTAGTTATCAGGACAGCATGGAAACTGTAGGGAAACACTGGAGGATGAGGAACTGATGTGCACTTTTTGAGTCTCATTTCACTTGTGGGACTGTTAATTATGAGAATATAGAAATGATTGGGAATGCTTGTATTTAGACAGTGTGCTTCAGGATTCACTGCAGTTAAGCCCCAGTTACTCCAGTGGTATTAAAGATCCTGTGTGGGTTTTGCAAAATTCATTTACATCCATTTAAGGCCCCTTTGCTCAGACCGAGCAAATGACAACAGATCCTAAGTGAGAAAAATAAAGGGAAAGGAGAAAAGACTGATCTCAAAAAGAAATGAGCTTCACATTTGTGGTCCATTTACAGCCAAAGACACAATCACCTAATCTGACTCCTAAAGTTAGTCCTAAATATCAGTGTAGGCAAGTCCCTGGATACTTGCCAGTGTCTCAGGGCAGATAACATCAGCACAAGTCGAGAAGAGCTCTTGAGTCTAGCCTGCGTTTTAATATACTATTAAAATAAAATGAGACAGCAATTAGTTTCTCTTCAGCTATTCCACAGCATAACTTCATCGGTCAATTAGTATGAATAAATAAATATAGGTCTTGAATTATTAAACTGCAAATAGAAGAAGCAACTGCATTTAATATTTCACTGTTCCTTCTCCTTGCTGTTTTGCTTTGCTTGGAGTTTTGAGTCAGTTGGTATTACAGGAGTGCTGTTGTCTATTCTTAACTCTTTCCAAACTTTTCATTCTTTCCTAGGGTAATTTTCTTACTCCAATAACACTTTTAATCCTGGCTTAAGATATAAAGGTCGGATTATCAGAGGGTATGCATTCACAGAGCAACAGTCTAGCCTCTGGGAGCAACGGGGAGTTCAGTGGCTTAAAAAAAGAGAAAAAAAAGGACATCTAGCGCTTCAGTGTGGGCTTACTAACTTGAAGTTCCCACACACTAAAACCTTCACAGAATCATAGGGTGGTTTGGGTTGGAAGGGACCTTAAAGTTCATTCAGTTCCAACCCCCCTGCCATGAGGGGTTGGCCTTAATCTTTCTCTACATGGGCTATAGAAGAGTAAACAATGTCTGATTATCCCACCGGTTAATCCCTTTTCCTAGTAAGAGAGGCAGAAACAGGGGTTGAGCAGGGTTAGGATATCTCCTGTTCGTGTCTGAAGACTCACAGATACTTGGGGCAGAGAGGTCCAGTCTGACAGATCTGCTTAGGAAGCTGGAGTACCACAGGCTGTAGGAACTGCTCAGGACCTTTGACACTTCAGGCTCCATGTGCTGTGACTGTCTCAAGTGTTATTTGAATGTGTAATCAACAGGGATCAGTCTCTTTAGCTGCTGCATGGTGGAAAAGTCGTGTGCAAAGAGAAACCTCATTTTAATTTTAGACTTTGATTATTTCCAGAAGATCTCCAAGAAGGTAGATCAGAGCATTTTCTGACTTCTTTGTTCACAAATGCTACTGTTGACCTCTTTGGTCACTGGTGCTGATTCTTACAGAAATGGGTCACTACTGTAAGTCGTTCTGTACTTTACCAAAGCGTCTGGACGTCAGATCACATGTTCCCTGCAGGAAATGGACAAAGAATATATCAAATAATAGTAACATGTTTAATCCTCTGTTGATGAGAATGTCAATGCATATAAGAGGAGGAAGAAGTGCAACTTCAAGTCAGTAAGCTGGAGAGGGCCTAAAAGCTCTTGGGGTATTTCCCTCCTGAGATGCCACTGCCTTCTGACCTCTGGTTTTGATTGTGGACAAAATTCTTATAGTAATGGCACTGTTGTACATGAGAAGAGAGTGGGTTCTCCTCTAACTGCCTCAGAAGAAATTCTTTGCTATGAGGGTGGTGAGGCACTGGAACAGGCTGCCAAGGAAGTGGTGAACACTCCACCCCTGGAAGTTCAAGGCCAAGCTGGACAGGGCCTTGAGCACCCTGGTCTAGTGGAAAACGTCCCTGGCCATGGCAGAGTGGTTGGAACTGGATGAGCTTAAAGTCCTTTCAACCTAAACCATTCTGTGATTCTATGACTGTTTTGCTCAAGATATACATACTGGTGACCCCAAACTTGTGACCTGGGCAAACACGCAGTGCAATAGGAGTGTATATGTAGAAAACAAGTAGTGCCAAGGAGCCAGTGTCTCACTGTGTGTGCTGTGAGGGTTCTTGTCTTGGACTAGCTCTGGCAGTCTGAGCTCCTGTAGCAGCTGGATCATCCTGGGTGAATCTCTGGAATGCATCCTCCAGTTAAACTTTGTCTAAAAGAGGCCCAGCTATCTTATCCTAAGACTGCCTCACAGTGTGAAATAATACGCACTAAAAGCGTGCACTGGGGAGGTTTGTAAACCTGAATCAAAACACTAAAACTGATGCACCCTGCTTAAGGCAGCAGACTGCAGCAGCAGCACCACCACTCCCCACGAAGCCACCCACCTCAGTGCTGCCTGCTTCACGGCACAGCGCTGGCATCCCGCAGGGTGAGGGCAGCATGCTGGCTGCGGGGAGCCGCCATGGAGTTATGGGGCTTAGTAAGACTCGGGAGGGAAAGAGAAGGCTGAGCGCCGCAGCCCTAGGTCGCAAAACCCAGTGGTGACCTACACCTGCCCATCACAGACTGAACTCTGCTGGCACCCATCCTGTGGTTTCCCACTCTTCAGTATTCGATGCTGATGACAAACCTTGAGCTGCTTCTGTGTACACTGTAGGTGTATTATTTTGTCACCTTTGAAGTCGCTTGAGGCACCCTGTGAGCTAAGTGCATTCCTCTTAGGTTGGTTCACTGCAGTGTATTTTACAATGTTAATTTCAATGACATTTTGTTTTCTATTTTAGTTTAAATATTTATTTTTTTGCCATTTTCTGGCCTGCTTTTATGTTCTTGTTTCCAGCTGTTGCTAGTGTAAGACCCCTGAAGAGTGTAGTTTGGGTATGTCAGTGAAACTTTTTCATCCTGTACAGCTTTTGGGTAGCAATCATAAATGGCTCATGGCAGCAGGCAGGGGGAGGATGTGGCATACAGCCTTGTGGTTATGTCTAACAAGCACTGCTGTCTGGTCTGCTCTGGTCTGCATTATTTTCTCCTCTCTACTTAGCTGCCATGGTGATAGGTTACTTGGGCATACCAGAAATAGACAAACTATCAGGGCTTTCACTGAGTCTGATCATGAGGGCTCGCTGTACTTGAGCATATGCATATATTTGTGAAAACTGCCACTTGAGGCTGTTGCCTACAACATAGTGTGGCGAGTATCATTGTGCTTGCATTCACAAGTGTGCAAGAGCTTTTACTGGGAGCGCTGGATATAAGAAACAGGATACTTAATTCTGGTCAACCTGAAGAGGAGTTTTACCTCCTCTGTCCTGTTCCAGGCAACTTTCTGCAAATTAGCAAGGCTCTACAAGGATTCAACTTGGTAGGCAAGTACCAGCTTTGGTGTCTCTGTATCCCTGCAAAGCAGAGATGGTAGCTTAAATGCCTGTGTTGTTTGTGGTCCTGAAGCTGGAATGACAGGCATGACCACAGAGATTCCCCCTTTCCTATCATGTCCACTAGCAAATTGGTGAAATTCCCATGTACAAGATACCTGCCAGACTTTGGGAGGGATAAGTCCCTCTCCAAGGGTCCCAGGAAAGATGCTTCCTGTGTCCCTGCAGAAACACGTAGTAACAGAGGGCTTGTAGCTTAAAGCTGTGCTTTTTTGTGAGACAATCCATGAGGTATAGAACAAGTTTGAGAAGATAAAACTAAACCAGAGCTAGGACAGGGCACGTACTGGAAAAATAAGTAAGTCTCACAACTGGAGCCTGAGACTCAACTCTTGTATCTGTAGGGTCAGGATAACCCACATCATCTCTCGCAGCTTGTTCAGGTCAAGTAGGAGGGTTCCTTCCCTGCCTGTGCACTGAAGGAAACCAGCATGTACAGGTGGTCCTCCTGACGCAAAAGCCAGCCTTGTGTGCTGACAGCAGCATGACCAGGGCACCCTACACCAGCAGCCCTTGCAATGCCACATGGCTAGTGGCAGTGCATGAGTCTGACAACCATCCCATGCATCTCTAACCTGAGAAAATGGAGCCCAGGCAAATGGGCCCAAATAGTTCAAAAGAAAGAGGGAAAGTAGATAAAATGGTATTTAAGAAGGAAAATATTAAATATATGGAGGTATTTATGGTAGGTCAGAAAGGGGGAAAAGAAGCAGAGCCACAACAGGTAAAGCAAGCTGAAGAAATATGGAAGGAAGAGAAAAACTGGGTAGATGGAATAAAAGCATTAATAAGGATGGCTGGAATTTTAAATTTTTACATGAGCTGTTAAATACTAATTTTAAGTAAGGATAACTGATTTTTAAAAGGTATTAGGTGAACTTTTAAATATATTTTATTCTACTCTTTCACATTTGAATCTAATTTTTAAA